TTTATTAAGATTTCTATAATAATTTCATTCATTTGTGAATCAGTTCTGAAAGTTTCAGTAAGATCTGATAATTATTTGATTTTTGCAAGAATTTCCAAATCGATTTTTTTTTTTCACCACAGAAAAAAAAGACGCTAAAACTTCTTATACTAATTTATGGTCCCCCGCTGGCACAAGTAAAACAAATTTTTTATCAAAAATTTCAAACCAATAACATAAAGAGTTTGACGATAAAACTTTGTTTTTATTAAGTTTGGCCTATTTTTTCATCATAGTATGCTCTTTTTTTAGTAGTACCTAATTGCATAGTATTTGTTTAAACTTTTTAATTGTTTTTTCTCATAGTTTCGCTCCTCGGAAGTTTGCCTAAGATCAGAGTTTAAAATTTTTCAATTTCATCATTTCTTATCATCTCCAGAGAGCCTCATCGGTTGATATAATTTCCTATCATCTTCCAACTGTTCACAGTTGCACTAGAGTTTTAGATTTATTCAAAGAACATATTAAAGCAAAGTAATGTATTCTGTTAGAAAAAAAGCTGGTCAAATGAAATCTCAGTTATGCACATAACCCAGTTGCCTAGTGGCGTGTAGAAGGAAGGGTTCAGAGGGTGCGACGGCCCCGCGCTTCCATATCGGGAGGGCATCCAATCAAAGAGTGAAATAAAAATTTAGTTTATATTTAATTTGAATAATGCGTTTATTTCATGTTTCATCTGTTTTTAAATATTTAAAATGTCTTCCTTTCTCATATTTCTCAATATATGGGCCTCCTTATTTGAGTCTTAGGGGTATACAATCAAGGAGTTGGCCCCGGACATCACCAAAATATCATTATAACTCTGCACGTCACTGCAGTCGTCATTATTATTAATTAATTTTGAGGTTTCTTTAAAAGTTGTTCAGACAATTCTCTCAATTTCAAAATATTATTGAGACTTTTAAATTCATGACTTCCAGAAAACCAGATTTTTTTTATTACCGTTTTTGTCTACTACTTCATTCAGTTAATGATTTTGAAGAGCTTAAATTTAAGATTTGGTAATTCCTAGTTAATGCTTGCATATAGTACTGATATATACGCTCAGTCTACTGATCGAAAGCAGAAACTATAATTCTGTTTTTGTCGTTTTAATAAAGAAGATATTTAGTCTTGTTACTAAATTAGAATATCCAAACATTTTTAATTATTTGCTAGCAATACTATTTTTTCTTTTTGTTTAGGAATCAGCCTTTCTCAAATAATTATTGTTTTCTTATTCTTTTCATATGATCCTTTAGTTAATTTCTTTTTTATTTACTTAACTTCTTTCTTATTTTTCCTCCAGTTTCTCAGTTAATCTTCGTTGTTTTTCTTCACTTCTTTCTTTCTTTTTCTCATTTCCCCTTTCTCAATTAGCTTCACTTTGAAACTTTCGATTTGCGACCATTATCTTTTTTGATAAATTCATCTTTATTTTCTTATATCTCTTTCTATTTCTCTTAATTGATTTTAAAAAATTTGTTTTTTTTTTCGCCTTAGTATCATCTATTTTTTTTTAATTCTTTGCATTACTTTGTCTTCCTTTTTCTCTGAAATGGCTTTTTTGATTTGCCATGACGTGAATCGTTAACCTCTCTAGCCTCTTTCTCTACTTTTCTAGCCCAAAGTCAACCTCGTTCTCCTTCTTTTTTTCCCCACGTCATGACTCCAAGGTGGACATTTACGAAGATCGGATGACGTACTGGACGGCCTGCTCTGGCCAATCTTGGTAAAATGACGTTACTTTCAGAAAATACATCATTAGTTTCTCTTGAGTAGACACGATGACAAACAAAGACAAAGAACTAACAGGGAATTTTAATTGTTTCAAGGAGAATGTTGTAGAATAGTGAGAGAAGGCATTAGAATGAGTGTGAGAATAAGGGAGAAGGTGGGGAGAAAGAAAGAAAGAAAGAAAGAAAGAAAGAAAGAAAGAAAGAAAGAAAGAAAGAAAGGAAGAAAGAAAGAAAGAAAGAAAGAAAGAAAGAAAGAAAGAAAGAAAGAAAGAAAGAAAGAAAGAAAGAAGAAAAGAAAGAAAGAAAGAAAGAAAGAAAGAAAGAAAGAAAGAAAGAAGTGAGGATGTTAGAGAAGCGGAGAAAACGAAACAGTGAAATTGTGAGCACGTTTGTGCAGTCCTTCGTGTGAAAATAAAGCAGCTGTCATGCTATGGGGTGGAAGATGGGTAAATATATTCTACTTGCGCACACCATACTCCGCCCCTTAACTTTTCGACGGTTCACCCGCCACTACTCCCTAATAAAATAAAAAATAAAATAAAATTAATAATTTCGTAAAATGGCGAAGTTCATAGGCACAGTGTGACGTGCAAGAAGTCTTTAATTCTTACCTACTCGAGGTCCTTAAGTTCCACTTTTGCTACGTTTTAAAGGGTCAATAGACAGTGGGTCAGATAATTGTAATAACGTGCAAGTATGCATGTAGGGGTGCATGAGCTATCACTAATATGTGTATATGTGTGTGAGAGAGAGAAAAAAATCGCGTATCTTTGTCTATATGGACTTCTTTTTTTAACTATCTTCTCTCAATACAATGCCCAAGAGCCTCTCAAGTTAGAATGCGAAATTTGCTAAAATCTAAATAAAGTTGTAAGGACGTGCAAAGGAGAGCTAGAAATAAGTGCAGATTATGAGGATACATACGATCGGGGCCGTCTTAACGCATGAGCACGCCGGGCAGTTGACCAGGGGTCCTACGAGCATAAGGGCCCCATGCTAATCTATGTATATTGAGACTGGCTTTCAGTAAATACATACTATATTATACTAAAATATAAATATTTGTTATTGTGTTACAAGTGGACATTGGCATTCGCCACTGATTTAGTATCACGCCTACCTCACGTGCGTCCATGCCTGCGGAACTCACGCGCTATATAACATAAAAGCGTATATATTAACATCAGTTCAATTTACTTGACAGTAGTAATGATATTGGTTATATTTACATGATTTTTACTATTATAGATTGAATCTGAGAATCATTAGGAACACTTGTAGGGTAAGCATTTAATAGTTATTCAAGATTACTAATTTATGATACAGTACTAATAACCAGGTGTTGATAGTTTGTGATGTGTGAATGGACAAAGCTTTTTATGTAAGATGTGAAAAAAACATATCAGGCACTGATCAACAGACATTTACTGTCCGATACATTCGAGGATGTGAATCTGTCGAACATTTCTTGATGTTCATCTCCACTTTTTCTCGTATAACAAAGAATCTAGCAGACATTGTTCTGGATTTCCTTAATGAGAACAAACCTCCACTATCCAATTGTCGTGATCAGTCGTACGACAATACCTCAGATATGCCTGGACGCTATATTTGATTACAAGAACCGATTTCTAAGCTGAATGAGTTCGCCATCTTTGTCCCTTGTATTAGACACGGCCTGAACTTGGTGGGAGTAAAAGCGGCAGAGTGCTCTCTACAAATTGTAAAATTTGACTTTGTTCAGTGGCTGTATGCCTTTTACTTTTCTTGTACACATTGATGGAATTTTCTGGCATTATCTTTATGACAAAATGTCTGACTGACCCGTGATGGTCGTTACATTTTGATGTTATTCATGCTCTTTATGGAACTTTCGAGAAAATAAAAGATGCACTGGATTCTGTATCAGCTGACACTGAACAGGAAATGAATACAAGACGCGAGAAACAGAAGGATTGAGCCTAGAAACGATCTTTCTCACAATTCTTTAGAATTACATTCTTGAAACGATGAACAAAATATGTAGGAATCCTGCAGTCAGAGGATGTGAACATATTTGTTGCTATGACTGTTCTTGGATCCATGAAAACCTATCTTCAGGAAATTTAATGAATACGAATTGAAAGCCAGGAGTAGGTGTCCAGATTTAAATTATAGCGATGCGAAAAGAAAGCGGGAACGAAAGCGAAGTGTGAGACTTACTAGATATGACGGATCAGAAGAAGCGGTGATTTTTAGTAAAGTGAAAGGTTCAAGGTGGAAATATTCCTTTCTATTCTGGATATACTAATCTCTTTACTGACAAAACGTGTAGAAGCTTATTCACTGACTGGAAATCTGTTTCCTCTCTTCAATGAATTGAAAACAATTGGTTCTGATGAGCTAAACAAAAAGTGTGAACATCTGGCTAATGTATATCCTAAAGACTTTGATTATGGTGACTTTTGAAATGAATGTGAGTATCTCAAGCACTACAAAGTTCTTGATGAAAATTGTGAGACCATTTGTGGAGCATATAACCACAAACTCCCCACGCTTCTCCTAGACTATTTGCCAACCCAAGGTAAAGAGCAGGGCGTGCCCTGCTATTAACTCTTCCATGGGGGAGAAATGAGATGGATTTATACCTTTTCCAAAGGTATTTTATGCTAAAGGGAACCCGGAAACTTTACGAAAAATGCCACACCGAAATCCGAAAGTACATAGGGATAGTGAAAGATCTTTTCAAGGAGCTAAGCAAAGTATTAAGAAACAGGAACATTTAGTTAGAAATAAAAAAAAGAGTACAGAGAGAGAAAGAGAAAGAGAGACAAAGGGGAGAGAAAGACAGATTTTAATGTGTGTGTGTGAACATAGGTATCAACATTGCATGGCAACTCAGTTTCTTAATGCGATCGTTAAACCAATTATAAAATGTATAAAAGTATGAATAGGAGTAGATAGGTTTACCTATCGCCCGGTTCTCGTCCTCCCCGGTCTTTTGAACAGGAGTAGAGGTCTATACCTTGTTTCCTGTTTAGGATTGGCTTTCTGGTTCCTTTTAAAGTCTACTTCAGCTTTATACTCCTAAAGCTTGTTCTTTCCTACACTAATATAAGTCCACACAGTAACCCACTACATTGAGTGGCACTTGGGCCTTATATTGGGTGAATATTAGTAAAAAAAAAAAAAAAAAAAAAAAGAACATATGTCGTTTACTAAGATTAAAAATGTTTTCTCTAAAATTTTCACAAATATCAGGCTTACGGCCGTATGACGTTGAAACATCGGATCTCGTACGATCACCGAAGTTAAGCAACGTCGAGCCTGGTCAGTATCTAGATGGCTGGACACTTGAGAATACCAGGTACTGTAAGCTTGGTTGTGCAGGTGGTGTAATGGAATTGGAAAAATGAGAGCCTGGTTTCAATTCCAGTTGGGTTCGTTATATTCACTTACGCGCAAATACCTTTGGGAAAGTTATGAATACACCTCTTCTACACCCGACACCCCACACCAGCTTCTCCACCCCACACCCCCCCACCAGCTAGAGTTAATTAGTAGAACTTGTATCAGTAAAAATCATTATGTCCTAAAAAAATTCTTACCACCCAAAAATATTTTCTGGCTTTAAATAACCCGCAAAAGGTTGATAAGCCGTAAAAAAAAACAATCAATCAAATTCACAAATATCAGTTTTTTCACCTCTAAGTTTAAATAATATATACGTGTACCGCACGCGTGCGTATATAGTGATTTTCAAAGCATAGCTTAGATGTGGCACAAGGCCGAAGGTAGGGGCACCCAGTGAGAATCGAACTTAATACTCAGTCGTAATTGTTCTAGCGAGACAAGCCTGCTAACCATTACACCGCCTCGAGGTGCCCGCACACGTGCGTATATATGCGAAATTTGCTAAAATCTAAAAACAATTTACAAGAAATCGTTTCGTAAACATTTATCCTTTCCTAAAGATTTTTGGAATAAATGATGTCTGGAAGAAGTAAGATTACAAGTATAAAGTTTTGGGAATTAAATTTCCAAGGAGTGTATTGCAAAAACCTTACATAATGCTCGAAAAAGTTGTTTTCTGAAGATTAGCAATTGTGTTTATTTTTATTTTTTATTCCCTATATATATATGTGTGTGTGTAAGTTTTTCTTGTTTTTATATGTTTTATATATATATATATATATATATATTCAACGATTTCCAGTCCCGCTTTTTTCTCGTTTGTATCACTCGTATGAAACTTTCACTCCCAGTCACAAAATTCTGTTAGGCTTATAATATTCTATTGAGGATTTGAAAAGGAAAAAAAAAACAATTAAATACTAATTGAATACTAAAGCAAAAATACAATGTGCACATGAGTAAGACTGAAGAATGTATCATTCAAAACCATTGTGTTAATAAAAACAAAAGTGAAAACTAGTGTTTGAATAATATAGGGAATCTAATAATGATGGTTTCAGATAAACAGCAAATAAGATAAGCTACAATAACTGAGATCAAAATTATCAGATTACGTACAAAACTTATAAATATTTAATTATCAGCGGTTAGCAGGCTTGTCTCGCTAGATCGATTACAACCTAGTAATAAGTTCTGTCTTCACTAGGTGCTCCATACATTTGGACTTGTCCCACTTCTAAACAACGCTTAGAAAAATATTTTGAACACTTCAATATGGTGTAATGGTGAGCTAACACCCAAACAAAAATCAACAGTAGATTTTTATAATACAATTACCAACATCACATTTTATTATCTAACTATATATCTAACAAAAGCATACGTTTACACTGAAAGTATAAAATAATGTACAAAAATATCTGTAGTTGAAAGCATAAAATTACGTACAAAATTTTTAGATTTCAGCATTAAATAACCCATAGAGGTGTTGATATGCCGCTAAACAAAATCAAACCTAAGCTTTTGCTTGAAGTAGTATGAAACGTCAGAATCTTTATTATGCCATCATTTTCTCTTAGATATATTAGATGATATCCATTTTAGCTGTTGCCGCTTTTGAAATTCTTCAAATGTTGTGGTTCCCGTTATTTGGTAAAATTCTTTATTTGTAATTCTGAAGCGCCAGTCTGTGAGGTTCGAAAGAGGATGTTGCTCTCAAAGACCCACAGGCTTCATTCTCTCTCGGCTACCTTTAACCACTGGTCTGAGAAAGCTGTTACATACAACTGACAGTTTCGATATTTATGAAGAGGTTGACTCCATACCTGACATCCATATAACAGTCCCGATTTGACGAGGCTATTTAAGAATATGACTAGCTTTGGTTTTATATCTTGCGATATCTTCAGAAGATAATTTAAATCCCATTAAACAAATACCATATTATTACTGTGATTAAGAAAGATTAGGAGTTACATATGTGTAAGGATCAAGGCTATGTGTCTGAGTCACGAAAGGAAGACAAAAACAAAAGACCAAATCTCATGGTGATTTCCCATCATTGGTTGGTTGCTCGTATTCGGGCATGCAAGAACGGAGAGCCAATTCCTGTTGTAGACGCCTGCTCAGGTATATTTCGTGCTTATTCAATACCAACAGAGTCCACATGTGGTTTATACTGCAACCATGCTGAGCGGAACTTGGTTACAGTTTCTGAGTTCAAATGCCCTTTAAGGAACTGCGTTCCTCACCAAACCGGACTCATAAATAATTACATCGGCTACACAACCACATGTTTATCCAGACGGCTTACGTTACACCTATCTGATCACAGCTCCATCAGAACACATTTAAACACACACTCAGATTTACCCGACACCATTAGGAACATACTAGTAGAAAACACAAATATATATTAACTGCATCCACTTGCAAAAAAGACTAAAAATAATGGAAGCTCTAATAATAAAAAAGAAAAAGCCAACTCTTAACAATATTAACTATGAACAAAGCCACAATGTGCTAACCGTATTCGGAAATTAAAATCATCCCTACCACACACTGATACATACACAGAACGCACACACTCAACTAAGCTGAAAATCGAATCATCCTTGATAATGGCTAAAGGTATAGCCGAAAGCGCTCGGAAATATAAAACATTCGGACAGTTCTTACACACCCTTTGTCCAAAAAAGAAAGCTCTTGTCAGAACACGAGAAAAATTAAATAAAAAGCTCAACCGTAGTACCTTGTCTGTCGTTTTTAATGAAACATGCATATATATATATATTAAGAAATGGACAAGGTCCGACAATTTATTTGTTAAAGACATTTTTATGTTTAACGTTGTTATTTATAGATACAAGTATTTAAGCAAATGCTCTGTTTATGATAAACAGTATTAAATAACATTTACCGGCCTGAATGTCCGAGAAATTTTCATAGAAAATATTCGTTCTTTGACAGGATTCGAACCTGCATCCTATACGGAACCGTCATTTACGCTGACGTGCCTAACCTCTGGGCCACAAAGAACCTTTCGGTAAACAAGGTCGAATTTACTGCTTATAAACTTCAATCTTCCATGAATCTCGTACATTCATAACTGCTCTGGCGTATCAAATGTAAACAAATGACGTCATATATTAAGAAATGGACAAGGTCCGACAATTTATTTATTAAAGACATTTTATGTTTAACGTTGTTATTTATAGATACAAGTATTTAAGCAAATTCTGTTTCTGTTTATGATAAACAGTTTTAAATAACATTTACCGGCCTGAATTTAATTTGAAATTTTCAGCGAAAATGACGGTTCGTTATAGGATGCAGGTTCGAACCTGTCAAAGAACGAATATTTTCTATGAAAATTTCGGACATTCAGGCCGGTAAATGTTATTTAATACTGTTTAGTGTTTATCATAAACAGAGCATTTGCTTAAATACTTGTATCTATAAATAACAACGTTAATTATAAAATGTCTTTAATATATATATATATATATATATATATATATGAGAGAGAGATTAGATAGATTAATTAATAAAACAAGAACAAACGAAATTTGTACCAATAAACATTTATTATTTATTAACCATATGGCAGAAATGAAGCACAAAGTTTGTTTTTTTTTAATATATATATATATATATATATATATATATATATATATATATATATATATATATATATATATATATATATATAATATAGACAAAAAAATATAGTTTTAAGGTATGCTATATTTATGGATAAATGTGCTCGATATCAGGGATAGACCATATGTAAATATAAAATATAAACAGAGCAGCGACAGTCTGTTTCCTGCTTGAACGCAATTTTCAAACATGTGGCCTGAAGATTGGGTTCAATAATGTACCAGACTGTTACTGCTTGGTGTCCAGTCCATTTCCTTTTACTTATTTTTCTTTATTACTTTTTATTACTTCAAAGTTTATATATATAGTTTTACTTGTGGCGGGCACTAACGGATGTTGTGTATCGCAGAAAACCGACTGCATTGTCTGCCTTTAGACAAGTAATTGAAAATGCATGTGCAGCAATCCCAGTGTACACTTTGGTCAACCTTGACCTAGCAGTAGTTCGCCGTAGTAATGAATTTATAGAAGCTAAAGACAACAATTTTGAGCAATTTTTTTTTTTTTTTTTTTTTTACAATTTTACAATCTATAATTTTTTTCATTTCCTGAAGTGTGTATAAATATTTGGCGGATTCTGTATAACATTTAAACTAATAAAAAGTAATAAGGATTTTTTTTTATTTTTCCTTATTCGTTTTTAATACTTCAAACGTTACATAAATATAACATAAACGTTTGAAGTAAAAAGGAAAAATAAGCAAAAGAATGGAATAAAAATAACATCTGAAGTAATAAAAATGTTGGATTAAAAAAATAAATCCATTAATTTTTTTTTTTTAAATTGCTTTGTTTCCATTTCGGATACGAAACTGAGCATATATGGTTTTACCAGAAAAATATCAACACGGGGGAGTGTATAACTTGAAAACACAATTCCGTTGAGCTTTCTATGGCAGATCGCTCTAAAGCACAACTAATCAAAACGAATCTAGGGGAGACACACGTTCGAACCCTGTCGAAAAGCACATTTTCTTTATGAAGATTTCTCGAGTGCGCAGGCCAATAGACGTAACACACAGCTTAAGATAAATGCATGGCGTCTATTTCAAACACACGTATCCACTAAAAGTAGCATTTCAAGTAATAAAACTGTCGGATCAAATATAAATCAATTCGTTAGATATTTTTTAATCAATTCGCCCCAAGCAAGACGATGACATCACTAAGACACAAGGAGTTACTGGAAGTGCAAGAGATGAAATCCGAATGATAGGTGAACCTATCTACTCCTACCGAGGAAAAAAGTAAGTAAATAAAATTTCAAAGTTTCGGCGGGGGCATTAAAAGTATAGCTTTC